TGCTCTCTCGAAATCATCCGATACTTACTGCATAACATCGATATCCGACCCTTGACAACATGGTTGTATCTTCTCTTGATGCCTGATACACGATATCAACGCCCGACTCTCGACATCTTAAATGTTAATCATTTAGCGCAAATTCTCTTTAAATGATTTGTTATTTCTAAATTATTTTTAATATTATACTTTTTCATTTCTATTCACTATTTTTAACCCGTGTTTGTGTCCTTTATTTTCAAAATTTGACATATCCCGTGTCTGTATCTATGCATCATAGATTAATAGTTTTTCTTCCAACAATTAGCCTAAGATAGAGTCATACTCTTTCAAAAGGTTTTACGTTAATTAGTAAGTTTTTCATCAACTAAAATATGAACAATAAAAATCCCCTTTTTCTTGAGTTAGGTTTTAGAGCCTTATTGTTTGGGGAAAAATAGGAAGACTTGGGTGGAGACAAGTCCTCATTTGCGATGAAAGCATATTGCTAATTCCCAATGGCCATCAACCATGGTCTAAGAGGGGAAGAATGGTGAGAAATAGAAAGAAAAGAGGGAAGGGTGAGGAATTTGTGCAAAACCTTTCTTACTCATGTCCTCAATGCATTGATGAGCTCTCTATGATTGTCTTCTTGTCTGTCTCCTATTTGCTTTCACTTTTTGACTTTACCATCAGTTCGCTCTCTGTCCTTCGACCTTCTCGAAAAAAGGCAAATAAATGTTTGAATAATTCACCTTCTTGATGACGGTTGCAACTATTAAAGATCTTAATAGGAGGAAATAATGTTCTCTTTGTCATCTCTCCAATATAAAATATTGTCCTTCACTTTTTGCAATGATGTCTACATTGAAAATATGAATTTATAATTGAAGGGAGCTTTGAAAGAAAAAGGCCTCGGGCCTCTCAATCTATAGCTCACTACCAATCAACCATATATTACTATTCCATGGATGCGTATTTCATAATATGAATCACAACTAAAGGGATCCCCATAATATCACAGGATAAGTATTGCCACACTCCAACATTCGCAAAAAAATAAGTAAACAAGAAAGGCCCCAAAATATTATGCATTTGCTTTGTGCTCTAAATTTCCACTGCTATACCCTTCCATTGTTTAAAATTGTGCAGTATGAGGCTCGCTTCAGCGCAATTTTAGTGAAAAATGCCTGAAGGCTTACGCCTTCAGTTTTTTTTAGGCTTGAGCCTCAACTTGATTGCGACCTGTTTTGAGGCACACATTACCTTGCTAGCGTGAGGCTTACGCCTCACCCTATTTTTATATATTTTTTGTTAAAACTAATATAAATCACGCCTTCGTGCACATTCGAGCCGCACCAACTTCCTCTCAACTCCCTCTACCTCCAGCCAGTAGCCTTCGCCATAGCCACTACACCGGGTCAATAATTGACACTTCTACTTGTATGCAATTTTTGCATTTAATATTATTTTGCTCTTAATAATATTTGGATTTCAATTCTATTTCATGTAATTTATTACTTGTCACTTTACATCTTGTGTAATTTTTATTTCATATGTATGTCAATTTGTTAATTCATAATTTAATAGGAAATTAATATGTCATCATTTAACATATTATTTAGATAATATATTAAAAACCACTTTTGATCTTTATTTTCACTTTACACAATTTTTTAATTTTGAGGCGTAAAAAAAGCCTTGAGGTTTATGTCTCACCTCAAGAACAAAAAACGCCTCAATGCCTAATTGCGCAATTTTAAACATTGGACCCTTCTACCTAAAAATTTTCAAGGGTGTCAAAGTCAAAGTCAACTAGAACTCACATACCCCAATGACATATCAGTGTGTTTGAATTTATCACTTTTAAAATCTTGTGCCAATTAGATTGTGGAAAATATATTTGAGGTAGGTGCTCGTCGCCTAGAACATGCTATTGAATCACTTTAATTTGTTCAAAATAAAATCCCGTTTGTGTCCCTAATGGTATGCCTATGTGTCAATGAGCCCTTTTTACACATCTAATAGTGCCTGAAGAACTCTATTAGCCAAGGTTTGCCGCAAAATTAGCCTCTTTGACATTACCTCTGGACTCTTAAGTCCTTTTGGAAGAGAGAACTTATGGTTTTTGAAAGGCTATTCTTAGCTCAATGACTAATGGCTTCCTTTGGAAGAGAGAACATATGGTTTTTGATAGGGTATTCTTATATATATTCTTACGTCAATGACTAATGGCTTGTTTACGAGTCAGTGAGCTGTGTGGGACATTTGGTAGAGCATGAAGCTCTCTATGGGCTAAGTTTTGTCTCAAAATTAGCCTCCTTGGCAATACCTTGAGACTACAATGCACCTTTGGATGACATAACATGTGTTTGTTGATAGATTCTCAGTTCAATTACTAAAAGTTAATGTACTTTGATCATTCTGACTAGGGTATACTTACAAACCTAACAAGATGATACCATAGGACATTGACATTGTTTGTTATCATCCTCTCCCATCTCCTCTAAGTACTTGAGCAACAATTTATGGACAACATATCGCAATAGGTTGAACTCAATGAGAAGCCATGCCAACATAACATTAAATGTAGTACAATTATCCTTAATTGAGAATTCTCTATGATCTTGAAGGGTAATTAATTATTAGGGTTTGCACACATACGAAGTCTTGAACAGAAAATATAAAATCTTTTATATGAGCAAAATCTCTAGGTAGTATTTTATCTATTAGTTTAATATGGCTCTTAATAAGTCATCCTGTAATTCTAATAGAGCCACGGGAGCCTTTTTGGATACCATATCTATAAACACTGTGGTTAATTTAAGTGGATGCTATGAAAATTTACATTTTTCAAAGTCTTGAATCAACAGACAAGCTTCAATATTATAGTTTTTGTTCAATCCTTGGTCCCATAAACGACTTCCTTACTCTTATACATGGATTTTCATTCTCTTGTAAAATGTATCTTTCACTTTCATTATGGCCATAATTCCAAACTTAAGAGTTTAATGATCAAAGATGACCCTTCGTTGTTTTGTAGGAGCCTTCTATACCCTGCATGTGAACAATGACTAGGCACAATCTTTCTTACTTCCATTGCATAACTAAAATTTAAAATTTCTAGTATAAACAGCTACATAAATGTGTTCCTTGCAGCTACTCTAGTTGGTGGTTCTATATCTATGCATCACTATTGGGGAAAATCAAGTTGTTAGAGATCTTGGCTTATCCATAAGGCATTTTTAAGTCGTGTTGGTTTTTGAAGACAAGAAATGAACAGTAGGTCATGTGATTAAACTCATAACTAAAGAGTCACTGATTTGTAAGAGTGAAATTGAATTTTTTTTAATAGAGGACATTCTATAGACTGTTATATAATATTAACCTAGTGCTGTATAATAATAATTAAACCGCAGGTTCACTTTTATGGACCAAGCCCGAAGCATGCACATAAACAAATGTAGACTCTTAATATGTCAAATGTAATCTTTTTATTATGTTATCAAAATTATTTAGACTGTGAAAACATTAGTATTTTATTTTGATTATTGTTTTATTTTTTCCAGGCAAGACCAAACGTGTAGATTTGGGTTGAAAATTCACCTAACTCTAGCAAGGGCATAGTCAAGCGATGCATGACAATATTCTAATATTTTTATTTGAACAAAATGTCACTTCCATGACAGAATAATAAAATTCATCATAAGGATATCTAATTGTAGTATAGTGTCCTTTATGACAAACTAACAAACTAATAACAATTGATTAAAATAACATTGGGAAATAAAAAATGATGACATAAATGATCCAAATAACCTAGACAATTAATGAACTGAATTTTGAGTCCTAATAACATAAAGTTAGATATAACCAACAAATAGATGAGCTCGAATTCTAAGGCTGCCATAATTAGACCAAGCCAACCCATATGCTAGTTCACTTACTCAATGATTATTAAGATTTTGTATTAATGGATGATATATGCTAGTTACAAATTGTTCCCTTTAGTTGTCATTGTTTTTTAATGTTTTTAGTTTCCATTAAAAAATATTATCATTTGCATAGTTTTATGTGTGTGTTGGTTGTTATAATTTTATATTGTCCGGGAATGGGTTATGTTAAATTCAAAGAATTGGAGAGGGAAAAAGCTTCTTTTTATTATGCAAAAATGATCCCTTTTTATAGATTATATAAGATATCTTTATAAAGAAACAAAGAACTAGATAATCTTGCATAATTGACCTAATATAATCCTTCTTTAACCAACCACCCAAATATAGAAGGAGATCGGCGTGATCCAGGTTAGCCTCCCATGGATCCCTATGCTGGCCGTGGGATCAAGGGCCAAGGGATGGCTGAGATATAATAGTGTGATCCAAGTGAGCCTCCCAAGGATCCCTATGTTGGCTGTGGGATCAAGGGCTAAGGGACAACTGTGATTTAACAGGTTATTATAATTTGGTTCTATCCAGGTTAATGCAGAAGTTAGGAATTTTTAAATACTTTGCCAGAATTTATTGTACTACGGAAATAAATTTCTTGAAATAAAAGCTGCATGCCATTGTAATCTATTTGAAATGTCATTGTCATCTGTGTTGTCTAAGTGCACAATTTTGTTATGAATTAGATTTTGTATCATCGAAGAATTGGTTAGTTCGATTTTCCTTTTCTTTTAGTGTCGAGGAATGCCATTCTACTAACATATAAGCATAATTTTCACTCTGAACATTTCATGCCAGTTATTAACTGATTGAAACTATAATTTAGCAGTAGCCTTTGTGTGCTCTAGTTATCCAAAATCTAGTGCAGGAGTTTGATTTTGCAATAGTTAATTGGATTAAGTTTCTTGTAATTTAATGATGATGAATTATTTTGTATTTTTTTGCATTCTTTCTTGTATGCTTATTTCAACATGAGAACTTCTTTTTAATATATTTCATCCAGACGTAATTCATTTTTTGTAAGGCTTTTTTTATTATGCATATTAATTCTCAGTTTTGTTCTTTTGAGTTTTACAGGTTTCTAGTACACGGTTGAAGAACATTGTGTCGACGGTGCAGAAAATTCATCCATCACTCCCTATCTTCTTCTCCAGGTTGTCCCCCATGTTTCTTTTTGAAGTCAAGAATCCTCATTCCAAACTACCACTAGCTCTGGCGATTAATATGGTCATATTATGTGTTTCTGCAATTGGTTTTCCAGAGGCCTTTATAAGGGGAATTGAGGAGGTATTCATCTATGCTTTTCTTGTGCTAATACTCGATCATTGAGTTTTGTGGAATTGGAATATTCCTTCGTTCTTGGATTGTTATATATGAGTTATATTATTACAGATGAGGTTGATTTGAGATTTGACTTAATATCATGGCTATTTATAGAGCAAGTTTGGACTACATCTATTCTCTATAAAGATAATGGATTCAAGTCTTAGAAATTATCTTACTACAATACAAACGTAAGCAAAGATTATTCGATATTAATGCAAAACTCATGAGATAAAACTCATTGGATATTAGCAATATAGTAGAAGCCTGTGCAATAGTATTATCAGAGTGATAATATTATAGCAAGAAAGAGGAGGTTGAAGATAAATAGAGAAGAAGAAAAATTGAATACTCCATTGTGTTTATGATGCGGACATCCAACCGTTCATGCCTATCCGAGGAGGGGAGCTGAGGATCGACGGCCGTGATCGTCCCACATTATCTTAAATTTTTATTTGTAATTTTATTTTAATTATGCATTATCCGTTTTTACTCTTACTTAAGAGTCTAGTTTTATGTAAGCCCTAGGGGCATATTCGTCTTATTTTAGTCTTTCAATTTCTGAGGCTTATATATAGAGATCCTTGCTTTTTTTTGTATTGGGATGATGGAGTTTAATAAAAAAAATTGTTCTGCACTTTTGTTCTTTAGGAGGACGTTAGTGAGAATCCCTATGGACGGAATCATAGTTTCCACCAGCCGCAGGATGGGTCCGGGCTCGTGGCTTGAAGTCCCTTGGTGAAGGGCAACGCATCACCTGTCAGTCTTCGGAAAAGTCCAAGGCTCGCGGTTCTATCTTTTTTTTTTCTTTGTTTTATTTTTCCTTATTTCCCTAAAACACCACCTCCTCAAGTCCTCCACAAAGGCGTCGATCTTCTTACCCCATCACCTCCACACCACTGGCCTACACCAGCTCCTCCCTCTTCCCTCCCCTTGGCCGAAATCCAACAAGGCTCCACCCACCCGCCAGCCACCTCTTTGCCTAATATCACTTCTCTCCAAAACTTATCTTTCCTTATTTAGGATGTCATTAATTTGGAAAGATTTCAAATTTGAATTTTAAATCCACTCTAATTAATTACATTAATTTTGGGAAGTTTCTTTAATTAATTAATTAATCAATTCTGAAATTGATTGATTAATTAATCCCATACTCAAATTTCAAATGTTTTCCTAATTAGTACATCTATTTTAGGAAGCATCATCAATTGATGCAAATCTGAAATTAATTCAGATTTGAAGTTATCAATCAACATTTAATGCAAATATCCACATACGTTGAATGTGACCGCTCCCCTCTTCCCTCCATTGGCTGGTCCACCTTCCCTCTCCTTCTCTAATTATTTATTCCCTAATTTATGGCCTAAGATTAGAGAATATTAATTACCTATTCCCTCGTTTATTCTTCTTGTTTGAAATTCGAAATTGTTAAATCTCTCCCACCAAAATCTGTAATTAATTTTAGATTTTGAAATCATCTCGCCCACCTCCTCCCGTTCTACATCAATTTGGTATCACAACATGATTGCTAACCCGGGATGTGAACTCGACGTAGTCGAGCTCTTTTCCACCTCGGGAGAACGATGCGGACTTCCAACCGTCCATACCTATCCGAGGAGTTGAAGATCGACGGCCATGATCGTCCCACATTATCTTAAATTTTTATTTGTAATTTTATTTTAATTATGTATTATCCGTTTTTACCCTTGCTTAAGGTTCTAGTCTTATGTAAGCCCTAGGGGCATATTTGTCTTATTTTAGTCTTTCAATTTCTGAGGCCTATATATAGAGGCCCTTGCTTTTGTATTGGGATGATGGAGTTTTTATAAAAAAATTGTTCTGCACTTTTGTTCTTTGGGAGGATGTTAGTGAGAATCTCTATGAAGGTAATCATAGTTTCCACCAGCTGCAGGATGGGTCCGGGCTCGTGGCTTGAAGTCCCTTGGTGAAGGGCAACGCATCACCAGTCAGTCTTCGGAAGAGTTCAAGGCTCGCGGTTCTATTTTTTATGTTCTCTATTCTATCTTTGTTATCACCCACCGGCTTCTTTTTCATTCTTTCACCATCATCCCACAACCAACATACCTCTCTTAGATCCAATCCAATTCCCCTCCAACCTGAGGCCAAGCCCACCCTCTCCCTCCTTGACCGCCGGCCCATCATTGTCCCAAGTCATCATGGTGTTTCCAATCATCATAATGACTCCCTAAATTGACTTAAGTAATAAAGGGAGGAGTTAGAATATTTTGAAATTGAAGTTTGAATTTCAAAAACTTTCCATATTTTCAAATTCTAAATAAAGAAAGTTTTCAAATTTGAATACAATCTAAATTTAATTTAGAGAGGATTTAATTATTCTCCCTCCTAATTTGCCATTGCTTGTTTGGAAATTATTCAACTCCTCCCCAATCCCTCCATCCTCTCTCTTGATGCCGCCGGCCCCTCGTTTAATGGGCTTTTAAATTATTTTTCTATTCAAGCCCTAACCCTACTTAAATTTGAATTTAATTTCAAATCCAATTTCCCTCCAATTCCATTTAAACCTGAAATTAATTTTCACTTAAACAAAATTCCCTAACCCTCATCCTAATCCCTCCCTTTCTCCCACAAGTCACCGGCCTCCCCATCACGCAAACCGTCGGCCCTCCTCCTCCCCTCAATCCCTACCTTCTCCTCCCCTCTTCCCTGTCACGACCCGACCCGATCCGGGACGGATCCCGC